ATGTCACTTGTTAAGTTTTTGAAAACTCTTCACATTATTAGAATTTAAATATATTAAATTTGATCTTGTTTATTTTGAGGCTAGCAGTAACTAAGACAGCTAACATCAACACCCTCTCTTGACTAAGCTGCCCTCATTCATCCCCAAATCCAGTTTGCTTTATCAGGCATGCTGGCAGTGCAGCTGCTCACGTGCAGGGGCACCTCCACTTGTCTGTCAAGACACCAGGCACTAAGTGAAATGGATGACAGCCTCACTCAGTGCATGCCAGGTCAGGATTTCTTAAACCCTGGCTTCTCCAAACTGATTAAATGTATTCTTGCAGGGAAAGAAGAGAATCCAACTTAGTAGCTGACTGTTCACTAACCCTATACTTTACTTCAAATTCATGTTTAAGCTTACTCCACACCCGAGTCTACCATTCCTAACAATACTTACACTGTAAGTTAAAAATAAACATTAAAAACTACCATAAGCTTAAAAATAAAAAAGAGCACATGGAAAGAGTACGGCCAGATTTTACACAGAAGCTGTGAGAAAAGAACAACACATACTTGCAAGAGTTCAGGAGCTGCTGCAAAATTAGGAAAAAACAAACTGATAACAAAGTGCTGCTGGATTCAAACCAGAACAACAACATCAATGAAAACTGTAGTTGTCAGGCAGATAATTCTGCAGCCAGAAGAAAGACACCTCCCTTCCCTCCACCCCATAATACTCTTGAAAGACTTCAGCCAGACACAGTCAAATCCCAAAAGCACTCAGACAGAAAATGAAAGAAAATTACTCATTTGTAAGCTTTACAAAATACCAAAAAAACTGAGTTAATCAACAGGTTTGCCTGGCAGTTATTAGTGCAATTATTTGCAACAGCAGTAATACAGTGAGAAAAGATCACATCCTGCCCAAGACTCTGAACCAGCTGCAATTTCTGCATCTGTTGCACAGACAGACATCAAACTCTGAACAGAAGTAAAACATTATCTAAAATTATTCACTGTGACCACTATTAAAAAGTTACTCAAATATTAAGCTCATATATAATTACCATACATTCACAGTGCTTTCCCATTTTATAAGGCTGGCATTTTTCCTCAGTGACTGACCCAACCAAGACAGTTTAGGGCACTTTAACTCAGAAGTGTATTGGCACAATATAAATACACCTAGCAACAGTTCTTCCTAAGATATCACATTACAGATGCTGTTAAAACCAACAGAAAATATTCCTGACTGGCTTAAAGCAATTGGCATCTCAAACTGGAAAAGGAATTATCCCACTGCAATGCAGACACAATGAAGATGCACACCCTTAAGGAACTAATTTCCATCAATTCCAAATGCATTTTCCATAATGCAAATGAAAATGCTTTTGTCCAACAGCATGCCAAGACATGCACAAAAACCTGTATCTTCAGTGCCTCACTTCATAAAGGAGATGATGCTTAGGTGGGGAAGGCAGCAAATCATGAGAGAGTAAGGAATAGGCTATTAGAAGCTTGTTTAAACCCAGGATTTGAAGAAGTTATGATTTAATGGTTTGAAGAATACTCCAAATACGCTTTTGATCATGACATAAGATTAAAAAGCCTAGGATTTTTTTGCATAGGAGTATATTAATCTTTCTTCAGATTAAAGCAATCCCACTATGCTCAGCACATCATACCCCAGCTACCCTGTAGCCAAGTATGCTCCATCTGGCTGGCATCCACACCAGATACTTCCATCCACCACTCGCCACAGATGTGCCCAAATCCCACCCCTAATCATAACCAGATTCCTCTCCATGGCTGTGGCTTGGCTGAGATGTACCTAGGGTTTGGAGGATCAGTAGTGAGTGTGGAGTGGGAATGAGAGAGCCACAGAGGAAAAGCAGGAAGACACGAGTGCTGGCTGGAAGAAAGAGTATTCCTGTTCATTCCAAGGACTGTTAATTTCACCTCACACATGGCATGATCACTGACAAAGGATCAAAAGTAAAACAGTGCAAGAGCAAGCCATCAATCTACAGTCCTGCATTGTATCATGAGCTACCTATGCATTCAATATTGCATCAGAAGTACATCACTGAAGCTACCAAGGCAACCTCTCCACAACTGGATAATGCAAGAATTCAAGCTGTGGTATCCATTAAGCCATCCAATGGGGATTGATTTATTGCAACAGGATATACACAACTAACTGTTAGTGTTAATAAGCTAGATTGCTTTGAGCCTCAAAGTCCTGTGCAGCCTGAATGCTTCATTTATCACATACCTCTCAAAAATGTGTCCTAAATTGACGCTCACTTCATCATTGGTTTTTTTAATAGCATTCTTGACCCTGGTATCAAACTTCTGCATACCAACAGAATCCTTCCTGCTTCACTCTCAACACCTGCACATCTCCAACTCGACCTCAGTGTTTTCCAGAAAACAAGAAAAATACCTGTCTGGCCAAATCAGCAGCACTTTTAATACAAAGCATCACTGTGTCAACCTGTCAAAGGAAGCAATACACAGAGAACAGTCACAAGGAGCATCCCAACACTCATGCATTTGAAAGCTATGCAACAACTAAGCAAGGACTCCACACATTTATTCTGATTCTTCCTAAATTTGGAGCACCTGCCTCCACAAATCCAACAGTCTTCTGAATGGCAGCATGAGAAAAACCAAATACAGACAAAAGGAGTGGAAAAAGCTTAGAAAGAGACCTGTACACATAATTCAGTGACAGGTTATAGCAAGAAATGGGGTATTTCAGGATTTCACTATTCTCACAAGTGCTGTCAATGAACTGTAACAAACTATTTATTAGTCAGCAGCACGTGCTAACAGGGAGTGGTGTAGTCAAGTGAGAAGTAACTAAGCTATTCCTAAAGGGTTAGGATAGTTAGCAGTGGTATGCAATAATATTTCTAGTATTGTACTTCAGAAACTATTCTGGAGATTTTTGGGATCAAAATAGCTGAATAGAATGCAGGGAAGAAAATTAGCCCCTTGCTGTTATGAATTAAGGTCTTTCTAAAGTGCAGCTCTACACCTATTTTTGGCTGGATCATTTTTGAGGAAGTCACATATATAATTCCTGAACAAACAAAAAGAACTAAAAATACCTATTTCAAACTTTTATTTGCCCAAAGCAATTACAATCAATTTATGTATTTTACAAATATCTACCTAGATCAATCTTGCCAATAAAATATGGCACTTCATTTGTGGTTTTAAATAAAATACTTCCACCAGGGACATGTTGTACTGATATATCTCTAAAAAAAAGATACAACTGTGAGTTCTCTGCAAGTTCATCCGAAGTCCTAACTGTTGAGGGAAAAAGAGGAATTGCACATCTGAAACTAATGAGAATAAATATAGTTATCAGTATAATTAATTTTAGAACCTGAAAGTGCTTTACATACATTCACGGGTACACCACCTATTCAAACCAATAAGCATTGTTCATCGTGTTATATAGATTCAGTGAATAAGGGACAGTAAGGTCTTTTTCTTTTATATCACAAAATGACTCACTGGCAAAGTCAAACAGAGGTGAAGCTAAAGACATATGGAGAAATGCAGCTTGAGGCTCAATTGTTCATTGCCTCACCCTATAAGCACCTGATTTATTAAGGTATCATTCATCTCACCTAGTCCAAGAACATTATAAATTTGATAATCTGAACTCCAGAACGTGCCACCTGTGACAGGACAAGATGCTAAGACGGGTGCTGCAACTACGTTACATCAGCCAACATGGGAGCCCCATTAGTGCACACAACTTCTCACAATTTCTCTTCCCCCCCCCAAAAAAAAGACCTCTGTGAAAAAAACTTGAAGGAAAGTACCTCCCTGATCAGGAGGTTTTCCCTTCATTTTTACCAATCATTTACTGGCTATTTCATTTCTTGTGTTCAAAGTCAGTCTCCTACATGAGGTTGGTAGCACTTCTGGGTAAATATTAAGGAGCAACGGAAAGTGAAAACCTTCCAACTGAATACTACCACAAAACCCCTTTTTAATTTTATAGTTTCTTTTCACACAAAAAAAATCAAGGAGAAAAGTAGTGACATTACTGTTGCTGCTGCTATACTATTCCTGTTTACCCTTGCAGACTAATAGGTCCTCACAGACAAAGAGGCATACCTCATCTACATACCAGGCATCTAAATACTTTATGTAGCCACCCAACTGTAGGTTTTGCTACATGCAGAGTATTTAACTATTTTTGAGTATTTTCTGCTCAGAAATTGTTATGAAGTTCTGGGGGAGAGTCATTACACCATGTCTTGTGGTCGGCAATGAAACTGCAGATCTTACATGTAATCACACATCTCCAGAAACACCTTGTTTTCCAACTATCTAGAGAATGAAGATTACACAATACTTGCAACCTGAGCCTGCCAAAATAAGTTGTTATAAAACTAGCTGCGCAGTCTGACACATCACCTTGAAAGAAAGTAAATAACATTCTCCCCAGAATAAACCACAGACTCAAAACAGTCCTACCAGAGGATCTGATCCACGCCTAATCAATGCTGCCTAAGAGTTAAGACATGGTTACATTTTTCTGTCTTTGAACAGAGACGGACTTACTGATCTTCCCAATTCCTCCTTTAACATTGGTAGGACATTCTAAGTTCACTTAAACAACACATGGGGCAAAGATTCACCGATCCACCTACCAGCAAGCTACTTTCTAACCCTCTCAATTTTTTTCCTGTGAACAAAAGATATTCAGTAGCAGACAACATGCCCTTTTGGTCATGTGCATTGCAGAAATACCAAGCAGAAACCCAAACAATCACTTCACATATAATTATAAAAATACTAAGATATTGGACATGCCTTTTGAAAAAAACAGAGCACTGTCTACAGCCTATGCTGTAATATACACAACACCCCAGGGCACGATAAGCTATTTATTAATGGTTGCAATGAAAAAACCACTGCAGAACAACTACATGCCGTAGCCATGGATTTCCACAATCAGAGCTCTACCAGCAGCCAGTGTGTACTCACAAGGTATTGAGACCTCAGGAGAGGGTGATGTTTGCAGCAAACTAGTGGAAATATTTCCAGTGGAGTTTTCAGGTGATGTCAACAACAGGAAAGATGACTTTGAGCCAGATTTCCATTTCTCATCAGACGCAGCCTTAAAAGTTGGAACAAGAGCGTTAAGACTCCTCGTTTTCAACCCAAAACCTGCATTTGAACCCCTACGTCGACACAGGCTCCGGTACCTAAGCGGCATCCCGGAGAGTCCGTGTCTGCCGGACGCGGGGCGTGCCTCCCCGGGCTGGAATAAAGGAACACTTTCACTACTCCGGTCCGAGGCACTGGCTTCGCCGCGGTCGTCCCCAGCTGCAGCCCCACCGCAGCCCGGCCACCTCCGCCATCACCTGTGCGGCCCCGTCGGGAACGCCTCGCCCCGCCCGGCCCCCGCCCGACCCCCGCTCCACAGCAGCCACACGCACCCGCGGCGGGGGGGCCTCGCTCACCTGCACTGCCCCTCCAGCGGCGCCTCCGCCGGGCTGAGCTCGGCACTGCCCCTGCAGCGGCACCGCTCCCGCCGGGCCGGGCTGAGCTCGGCACTGCCCCTCCAGCGGCGCCTCCGCCGCCGGGCCGGGGCTGCCCCAGGGGAGGCGCCGCCGCCGCTGCCGTGCCCGCTGCGAGGGCGACACCGAGCGGCCGCGGCGGGCGGGCAGCGCCCACCGATCGGCCCGGGCCACCTCCCGCCCCGCCGGCCGCGGCCGAGCCAGGACGGACCCCTGGACCCCGGGGAACACAGGGCTCTGGCCGGAGCTGGGTTCCACACGGACTGGATGCTCTCCTGGACCGAAGCTCCTTTGCAGCTTAATTATGGAAGCTCATAATAATTTGCACGGGAGAAGAAGCGCTACAAAACTACAGAATCTGAGCGGGTCGGGTTGGGAGGGATCACAGTGGGTCACCTGGTCCAACCTCGCTGGTTAACCGGGCTCGTCCTAGGGCACGTGGAACAAGACTGCGTCCAGAGAGCTCTTGAATATCTCCAGTGAGGGGACTTCCACAATCTCTCTGGGAAATCTGTTCCAGTGCATGGTCATCCACACAGTAAATAAGTTATTCCCTATGTTCAGGTGGAACTTCCCATGCCTCAGTTTCTGCCTGTTGTCTCCTATCGAGTGGTTGAGACCACCGAGAAGAGCCTGGCTCCATCTTCTTGGTAGCCTCCCTTTAGATATTTATACACAGTAATGGGGTCTCCCCTCAGTCACATCTTCAGCAACCAGGCTCAGTTCCCTCAGCCTTTCTTCATAAGAAAGATGCTTCAGTCTCCCAATCACCCTCGTTGCCCTCCACTGGACCCACAGCAGCTACATGTCCCACTTGTACCGAGGAGCCCAGAATTGAACACAATAAAATTTCCCCAATTTCAGGGAGGCTGGATGCCCTTCCCTCCAGCAGGAAGCCAGGCAGCGGGCTTTGAAGTCTGCGCTGAAAGTCAGAGAGGGACGCCTTGAGACTTGACTGTCTCTGCTTAATGCCTCACCCACCCCTGCAGCTATCACAATATCACTGGGACCTTCTGCTCACCCGAGTCATGTGTTTGTGTGGGCAATTATGGGCGAATGTCAGTAATTCACAAACTGGTAGGGAGGCAGGTTGGACAGGACCATCTGTAGACACTGGGAGATGAGAAAGGAGTTTGTATGAGCAGGCTGAGTAAAATTATAAAAGTGGGATTGGGAGAAGGAGAAAATAGAAAACAAGGAGCTGTTCCCTATACAGTGCTTGATCTCACAGGCACATCATTTTCAAAGGCTGTTCCTCTGGCTTGAAGGCATTCTCAAAATGCCTTAAATGAAACTGATGCCCTAAACAAACTAAACATTGAAGTATCACAGACACTTCCTAGTTATGTCATGAATATATTCTTTTGAATGTGTTTTTCAGATTATTCTACTTACACCTTTTTCACTAAACAATTACTGTGGTAGTCATTGTTCTGTGGCAATATTCATACCAGAGGTTCATGTCAAAACCCTAGGTGCTTCCCAGGAAAGACTGACTGACTGGATTTATTGTTCTGATGCCTCCCTGATCTCAGCAAGGCTTTGTCAAAACTACAGCGTTAATCTGAAGTCTGGTGTCATTAAAGTGTAGTTAGGAATGTAGGAATAGAAGTATTTGTGTGAGTAACAGTTAATCTGTATGTTAAATAAGTTCCATATGTGTAAAAGTTTGCAGAACTATTCTGGTTATGTTTGATCATTACAACTGAGAAACAAGATGTTAGCACATTGCAGAAAAAAGCTTTCTTGGCACAAATCTGTCACCAATGTATTTCATGGAAATTTTCTCTCTTTAACAAAAACAAGATGAGACCTTATCGTGATCCTGCAAACCTAGGTGCAGATAGGTTCCTTGATTGGTGGATGTCAGTGGGACTGTGCTTAAGTAACATTAACCTTTTCTAATGCAGACAGTCGATTTTGTATTCTTCTGGATTTTTTTTCTAGTGGGGAGAGAAATTAATGACACGGAAAGAATATGAACTGCAGCTCGCCATGGACAAAATCCAGTCACATCTATTACTGTACATGTCATATATGGAAAGATTCAACCTCTTATTTACCTGCCCTTCCTACAAGTCCTGTGACTGAAGGCTGGGTGCAGTTTCATTATGTGCACCCAGCTTCAAAGTCAAATGACTTGACAAAAGGAAAAGAAGAAAAAGGCCTGATGCAGAGGGGACTGAAAACACCGTGGTGGCAAAGGGACAGAGGAGGAGTAAGTCCTGAGGCTTATGGGGAGTCGACGAGAGAGTATATTGTGAAGAGATTGGCAGAAATGCTTCAGCCCTACTCTAAAAACCTATCTGGCAATGGGCCTGGAGTCTATGTGGCTTTGAACCTGAAGCTGTGGTCAGGTAGGAGATCACTGATGTCAGTTGTGGGAAGGTTGTGGGAAGAGCTGCACTACAACCAGTCCTCTTTTTTTAGTTTCTACACCCCAATTTGGTATTTTAACATATCCAAATCATTCTCTCTCTCACTGGTCATGTTTCATAGCTCTTTGTACAGAAGAAACCTCATACAGACATTTCTGGGTAAGACCCACTATCCAAAGCTGGCCTTGAAACCTAACAGCCCTTTGTGTACATAGGTGATCAGCTGGTGTGTGAGACAGATGGTCCTCCATTACACACTTGGAAACTCTCTTCCTCCTTCCATCAGTTTTCAGCAGGCTAATGCCTGTCAGGGCTGTCCCAAGACACAATGCTGAAAACATGACTGGTAAAAAAATCCTGCTCCAAATCTAAGTCCTAATTCCTTTTACAGGATTTTACTTTGAAAGGTTTCCCATAATCTTTTAGTACATCGTTAATCTGTTCAAGCAAAACTTCCAAGCAGGTTGATAAGTTGAGAATAAAGGCAGGCCTTTCAATAAATTTGTATATTAATAGGCAAAGGGGATTTCTCCCACCTCTGAACAGATAACCTCCGTTATCTCCAGTGGGTTGGTGCAACCTGGAAGGCCTGATGATAAGAAGATTGTCATGCAGCACAGAGATGGGAAAAATAATCAGCTGCAGGAAAAGTGTGGAGACTCCAAACAGTATTCTAATCAATATACTGAGTGCAAAGAAGGAGAATGGGACAGGAAGAAGTAGAAAGAGAGAAACAGAGGAAAAATTGGTGTTGGAGAATCAGGAATTCAGCTGCCAGTCACCACAGTGGGAAGCATGGGATGACAGCCAGGGGCAAACACACACACTCTGGAGCTTAGACTGGTACAAGATAAAAACAGCAGCACTGGAAACTCCTGAGAAGAGGCCCCGGTGAGAGGCAGGAGGTCTGTCTTTGTACAGCAGGCCTGGAGGAAGCAGTGTCAGGGAGATGAGTGCCCCTTGGTCGGTCAGGGGCATCAAAATCTCAACTTCTTTGGAGATTTCACTACCATGTCTCTCTTTAGTGTTCCCTATTAATCAAGTTATTATTTCTAAAATAATATCTCTAACCCATACTGCAAATACATTACCTCCCACCATCAGTGCCTGACTTAACATTTTGGGCTTGCCCACGTGATGACAGTCGGCATGGAAGTACGGGGCAGGCAGCAGGCAGTGCCTACGGCACACTTGGGACTGGAGTGGGCTTGGCAGATGGGCGAGCTGAGCAGCACCAGGCACGCACTGGTCCTGCCCATGTCCAAGAGTCTCTCACATGCTGGAAGTGTGTAGGGATGACGCAGGAGAGTCCCAAGTTTGTCTTTGGGGTTTGTGCAGGGTGAGGTTGCAGGACGTGACCAAGAGGAGGCTCGGGGAAGACCTTACCACTCTCTTCAAACTGACTGAAAGGAGGCTGTAACCAGAGAGGGGTCATTTTCTTCTCCCAGGCAACCAGTGACAGGAGGAGAGGACATAATCTTAAGCTGCCTCAGGGGAAATTTAGGTTCTGCATTAGGCAGAAATTCTTCACAGAGCAGAATTTCTCTGTGAAGAGAGAGTGATTAGATTCATAATGTGCTGCCCAGGTAGATGGTGGAGTCACTGTCCCTGGAGGTGTTTAAGGAAAGACTGGACGTGACACTTAGTGCCATGGTGTAGTTGACATGCTGGTGTTCAGTCATAGGTTGGACTCGATGATACCAGAGGTCTTTTCCAACCTATTTGACGCTGTGACTGTAAGGATTCTGAGCAGGGATGCTTGTAATAGAAACGCCAGGTGCCATCTCGGTGCCGCTGCCGGGCACACCTGGCCACTCCGCTCGCCCACCGCGGCGCTCCGCACGCCAGGGGCAGCGCCTCGCGTTTGCACCGCTCCCACGGGTGTCTCTCGGGACAGCAGGGCCGGGGCGAGCGGCGGCGGGCCCCGGACCCGCCGGTGAGCCCGCAGCGCCCGGCTATGCCCGCCGGCGCTGAGGTGCCAACGGCGCGGCCCGGCTTGGGGACGGGCCCGGGCGAGCGCGGAGGCCTTGGCGGCCCGTGACCGGGCGCGTCAGGTGACGCGGGTCACGCCGCCTCCCCGCCCGCCCCGCCGGCAGCTGCGCCGCGCTCCGCCAGCGCCGTGCGGGGGGAAGGAGGGGAGCGGCGGCGGGCGCGGCGCCAGCGCGGGACCTGCGCCCCCCGCGCCCCGAGCCCGCCGCACGCAGAGGGGCCGCGGAGCCCCGCGAGGAGCGCGGCCGGCATGAGCCAGGTGCCGAGGAAGCTGCCGGAGGAGGAAGAAGGGGACGAGGAGGAGGAAGAAGAGGAGGAGATCGTGGGCTTGGCGGGCTATGCCGACGGGGCCGAGTCCTTCTCGGACGGCGACGCGGAGAGCGGCGGCGATGAGGCGTGTGAGTGCCGCTCGCGGCGGCCGCAGCGGCACCGGGGGCGGCGGGGAGCGGCGTGGCGGCGGCCGCGGGGCTGCGGGGGCGGAGGCTGGGGCTGCTCCCGGAGAGCCGAAGGGCAGCGCCGGGCTCGGAGGGGGACGCGGGGTAGCGGCGGGCAGCGAGTGCGGGTGTGGAGTGAGGCGGGGCGGGGGCCGGGGTGAGGCCGGGACGGTGGCGGGGGCACAGGGCCGCCGCCAGGAGGTGAGGTTTGGCGGCCCGTGGATGTGGGTCAGGGAGGAGACGAGGCTCCCCGCGGGGTTTGGAGCACGAGGGGAGCCAGGGACAGCGGTGCGGGAAGACAAGGCGTCCAGAGGGAGGGCAGGCCCTACTAGGGACAGGGTTGGGCGCCGAGAGGCCGTGCGGAGCGAGGATGCTGCGGAGGTGGCCATGGGAAGGGCCGGGACAGGGACTGGGTGCTCGGTGGGTCAGAGGGTGAAGCGAGCTCTGAGGAAGGAGCAGGGCAAGGGCTGACAGGTAGCAGGAAGCGTTGAGAAAGAAGGAGGAGGCAAAGGGAGTGCAGGCAAAATGTGTGTGTGTCTAATTTCTTATTCTTCGTGTCTGGGGTGAGAGTTATTAGTTATTAGAGACCACAGCTTGATGATGTGACCCGAGTGTGCCAAGGCGGTGGGGGGGTTGGGTGTCACGCTATAAAAGGCAGCGGCCACACGCAGCTCTGTGTCCGGGGCTGCTCCGCAGCTGCGAGTGTCAGTCCCACAGTGGCAGGTTCTGCTAAATGTCCGTCTGTCTGTGCCTGTGAGGAGCCGCCTTACTCACTGCTTGTCCGTGTCAGTATGGATGGTGATGCTGAGAAGGACGGGCTTACCAGGAAAAGCAGTCTCATTCAGTAGAAAAAGGAAATGCCAGCTCAGAGCCTGTTGCGTTCATTCAGAGCCTGAATTCATTCTTCTGAGACATATTTCACAAAGGAGCTTGGAGAACTCTCAGTATCGCAGGATAAAAAAAGAAGTGCTTTTTTATAAGAGCATAATAAAAGACCACATGTTTTAAGTCTACTTAGATACTGGCGTGCGGAACCCGTTTCCTTAAAGGCCCAGTCCTCCAGGCTGCCATGGGAGGTGCTGCATTGAGTAATGTAATTTTGGGGAGTGGAGGAAGATCAGTGCTTTGAGTATAAGCCTTCATGGTTAAAAGCTGTAGGAATGTTAGACTGTAGGAGCTATATAACTGAGATTAAATGAAGTCTTACATGAACCTGCTAAAGAATTGCCTTCATTTTGATGCAGAGAATAAATTTTAATGTGTTTCTTTAGTGCTACACTTAGTATTTTCCATAGAGAAGTAACCCATATACTGTCTTCAGACAAATTCATTTGGATATTTTTGAATAGGAACTTGTTAGACTGCTAAGAATTCCAATTGCTTCTTTACAGTAACACCAGAATATTGTACTTAACAGAAAAGAACCTTTACATCCTCAATAGCAAGAGAAGACAGTCCATGCAGGGACTATTTTACACACGATTAAAACAAAATCCATTTTAACTGTCCAGATTCCCTGGTTTTCTGTTTTATTTTGAATTCTCTGGAAAAAGAGGCATAGAGGCATACAACATCTGAAATGGAGGGGGTTGGGATTCAGTTCTGTGTTTTGTGTAAAACTGGATTGCAGGGCAAGGGGCTTTCCCCTTTTTTTTCCTCCTTTCTTCCTGGCTCTGTACAACAAGTAGTCCAAAATTCAGTGTCACAGCCTCCACTTTTCTACAAAGAAAGGATGAAAAACGGGCAGTATGAGAAGAACGACTTCAATGCATGGCTGTTTACAGTGAAGAGAAAAGCCAGGCTTAAAAGTAAAAGCGTAATTTCTTCTTGTAAGCATGTGGAAGATTACAAAACTTCATATTGGTCATCCCTCACCCTATACGGGGTTTGTATCTCCAGCTTCCCTGCTGAAACCATGGCTCTTGTCCTTAGTTTACACTTAGGGTCATATTCCAAGACCTTAAAACACTTAAATTTACATAAAGCCTAGTCATTTTTTTATAGATGCAATTAAGAAGTGTTTAGAAGCAGGAAAGCCCTCTGCAGAGTGTCCAAGGAAGTGGCTTTAAGACATACCACTGCGGAGTGCTGCACTTGTGGCAGCGTGGAACCAGGTCTTCTGGTTCTGAGTCTTTTCTGTAGCCACAAGAATTTCCTTCCACCAGGCATTTCTGCAATGTTTATGAGCCCACAGTAGCTGAACAGCCTTCTTCATTGCATACAGGCCTTTTCTGTTAACTCTTTAGTCTCAGGCCATCTGTTAGCGTTGAAGATGTTCATTGTATATGTTTTGTAAGGACATTGTCTTGACAGCAATCCAAAGTGCTGCAAATACCACAGTCACAGCAGTACTGGAAATGCTTACAAGATTAATGGGTTTGAAGGTAAGAGTAGAAAGTTTGGGACTGCTACCTTCCTTTGTACAAAAATGGTTAGAACTTAATATAACTGTATTAGTGGGGAAAAAATCATTATTAGATGTATTAATTCAAAACTAGGCTCAGAGGCTTGTTACTGTGCAAATGGTAACATGAGAAAAATAATTCCTTTTGGCTTTATGCTACTTGAACAGATGAGCTGTGATGTTTTATTTGGATGTTTGAAAGCTGGTGGGATGTAGAGAATGTGGCATCCCCATCCCATATGCCTGCAAAGCATGGATAGTCACCTGCTTTGACAATTAATTGCAATTGATCTGGAATTCAGGATGGGCTTCAAAAACTGTTTTAGTTATCTCAATATATCTAATAGCATAAAGGAGATACTAAAGTATTCATTGTGTACTGGTGAGACAGGTCGGGACTGCTACGTGCAGTTCTCAACTCCTCGGAGCTGTGCTCTTCTGCATGTTGCAATGCATGCAAAACGCAGTCCATAAGCAAGGACACAACTGCAGTTAACAGCAGTTTTGTAAGGAATTGAGTGCTTCTCTGGGGAAAAGTGCTTTTAGGTTTGTTGAATTAAATTTCTGAATACTTCGAAGGAATGGCCTCTAACCAGCATGGCTTCTGTTCTTTATGGCTGCTTAGAAAAGCTGAAATATGAAGGGCTGTTGAGATGCATTAGAGACTGGCATTTTGCAACATTTACTCTTTGCAAAAGTGAACAAAGCAGGAAATGTGTTGCATCTCACAATAGGGAAAATTATCTTTCCCGTTATAGAATAGAGAAGAGTTTAGTGTTTCTCTTGGGCATATTATGATCTCACTCAGTAACCTAGTCTGGTAAGTTGCAATGATACATCTACTGGCATTTCTGTGGCAAATTAAAAAAGGAGTTGTCATGTACTCCTGCAAAGGAATGTGGGCCGGCAATGCATCGTCCAATTCCTTTACATATAAGGTAATCTCTTAACTCTCTGAGAGGGAAGTGCTGTAGAAGCCTTGCTATCTCATCAGGTTTGGATGATACTCTTACATTTCCCTGTCTTTGAACTGGCAGGATTTCAAAAGCTAAGTAACAGTCTTACTAGCAGAAGAGCTGGTCTTCATTCTTCTCATCGCTAGCTAATTCTGTTTGCAGTTGCAACTGTATTTTTTTTAGCATGACTTTAATAGAAAGCAATTTCCTGCTATTAAGCATTACAATCAGTAAAAATCTAACTGGAATATTTTAATATCACGACGTAAAAACTCCAAGTTATTTAAAATATTGCTTCAGATATATGTGGGGTTTTAGCTTGTTCCTCAAAGAGGAGGTAGATATCCTGTCCTCTGGTTGTCTCATCAATGGTCAGAATCCTGGAAACTGCTGTCCATCTTGAACAAAATCTGAACAAAAGACGTCTCAAAGGTTATTAAGTTCCCACTGGCATTCAGAAGAGAGGAGAAAGCTAAATGAAGTGTCCTCAGAGGGACAGGTGAGCAGCTTTGTGTGTTCACTGTGGCAGCAGCTGGCAGACGGGTGTACATAGTGTAGCCAACTGAAATGTGCTGAGCTCCAGACCAGCCACAGCATGTCATATCTATTATTTGGAGATGTCATAAGACATACAGGAGGAAGTTGGTGTTATTGTGGTGGGAAGAGGAAGGGGACACAAAGTACAATTCCATGGTTGATGAGACTTTGTACGTTCAGTTGCATACAGAGCAAATAGGAGGCTTTTTATTTTTTTGAAGCATGCAATAAAGCCTCAGCTTAAAGACTGTACTTTATATGCTTTTATAAAGTCTTTATAAAGCTTTGAAGAAATTATTTTCTCTTCTGATGGCCAAAAAAACAGAGTGAGATGGAGAATACACCATTAAATCTTGCATATTTGGTTTGATTTATTTACAAAACTGTACCCCCAAAACATAAAATATCATTACATCATCCTAGAGCAGATGCTTTTGGAGGTGTGAAGTGTTGTAGGCACATGTTTCGCCCAGCCACAGGAGGTACTACCACTGCTCAAGTTGATGAGAAGAGAAGAATATTGACCTCAGTTTCTTACTTCCTAAATTTGTCATGTGTAGATCAGCAGAAGTGGCCGTTGCTGGGTTAGATTAGATTAGATTATAGGATTAGATTCTTGCAGAGTTACCTATCCCTGTTCTGACTGAAAGCATTTCCCCCCCTGTTCGCTCCTCCTGCCTGGCAGTGTTCATATGTGATAATTGACAAGACCACAGAAAGTGGTAATACTTGTCAAGGCCTTTGAATTGTATTTGAAAGGGACAGGACAGGATCCCTCCGATAATGAGTTGAAAACTTGTGTTAGTCACTGGTGACACGGACCTGCACTGAGAGGCACAACCTCTCACAAGCCAGTAGATGGTGCCAGGAGATGTTTTATGATAACGCTTCAACACTTTCAGCTTGAGAAGCCGTACTTCTCTGTCCTTCAAATTTGGGAGGCACAAACAGACCTGGACAAGGTTCTGTACCCTCCTGGCAGACATATCCTGCTCCTGTGTTTCTGAAAGCTATGAGTGAGGCTTCAGGCACACAGGAAGACACAAGATGTAGTCACCACCCCTTGGTGCAAAACATGCTCCTAGGCAAAGGATTCCTCTAAGCTTTCGATCTTTTTTGGCTGATAAAAAATTTTGGCAGGTTGAAGTTGTTGCTGACGTTTCTTGTTTTGGATTTTCATATTTTGGGAGTAAAGCTGACCACTTAATGTATGCAGGGTATATTCAAGAATGATGCATGTGAATAAATGTATGCCAGTTTTCTGCAATTCAAAACTTATTCCAGCAGAAAAAAAGAAAAAGAAATGCAATTATGTTGTGCTATGAAGTATAATCTGAATGATCTGTAGTGCAGTGGTTGGGAGAAGGTCTACCAAACCTCACTGGATAGTATGTTTAGCCTGTTGTATGATCAGTATTTTAAACCTGACCTCTGTGTACTCTGAGTTGTACTCTGTGGATTTAGCACTGACAACTCAATTTTTTGCACTGCTTGTGTTTGACACTGCAGACTCACAGAGGTCTTTCAAAGCTTTTTACATATAAGGGCAGTGCCATTTCACCTCAGCACCAAAGGACATTTCAAAGTTTTAGGCAACTAAACGCAGCAATTTAGACTGCCTTAGGTGTTTTGATTAGAGATACCTGAAGCTAGAGTTGGTATGCCTACAGGAATACACAGCTATACATTCATGTCCTTACAGATATAACAGCATAGTTTACTGTTGGAACTACTTGATGCTGATATAACTGCATCAGCACCAGAAAAAGTGGTGCCAGTTTCAAACTGGGGTAGGTAACACAATGAAACTCCTGTGTTCCCAGGCCTTTGTTTTGCAAATAGGCAGATGATACGCTGTGATCTTATTTACTGGATAACAAACCTTTACAGATCATAACATAAATTACTGAGCAGCAGGTGAAATCCTAAGCACCTTAGAAAAGGATTCCTCATGAGCTCAGTACTGTAAGTTCCAACACAGAAGCATTGTGTGCCTGCTGAGTTGAACTCTTCTTGTAGCTCCTTGCATGTGTGATTCCATTTATTTATTAATTTATTGGTTGGTTGATTTTAGAGAAAGGAAGCCCTCAGGTAGAAAGATCATGCAGAGGTACATAACACAGTCTTACTCTGTTCTTCCAGCAGTGTGATGTAGCTATCTGCTGAAAAGGGTATTTGTTATCAGATGATACTCTTTTAAAGAAGCATATATATGGCATAGTGTTAATTAGAGTAAATTAGGTATTTTAAGATGTCTATGTGTGATAACAGATTTTTCTCATACAAACAGAGCAGTCAAGCCTTCTTCAGTCTCTGTCTTGGAGATGAGAAGTAGATTTTCTGATAGCATGCCCTAAGGGGCAAACAATTCAAGTCAAAATGCCTGAAGCACTGCTCTCTAAGCTTAAACACTGGTAACATTTGCATAAATTCATACAAAAATTTCATTAAAATAAATATCAAATGCATGTTATCTGGCAGTTACTAATTATATTGCCATAGTATATTCCTTTTCTTCTTGTGTGATTTTATTCAGTTTTGGATTTCAATGATCCCTTCAGTACTGAAGTTAAGCCAAGAATCCTGCTCATGGGATTGAGAAGAAGTGGAAAGTCTTCCATTCAGAAAGTTGTCTTTCACAAAATGTCGCCGAATGAGACTCTCTTCTTGGAGAGCACAAACAAGATCTGCAGAGAGGACGTTTCCAACAGCTCCTTTGTCAACTTTCAGATATGGGATTTTCCTGGGCAAATTGACTTCTTTGACCCTACGTTTGATTATGAGATGATTTTCAGAGGCACTGGAGCACTGATATTTGTTATTGATTCTCAGGTAAAAAAAGGGGCTTTAAGCTACGTTTTTCTTTTCTTCCTTCAGCAATAAGACAAATGGGTTGGAAAGCACAGTTTTTTTCAAAGCAAATAAATAATCTACATCACAAACACATTAAAAGAAGTCATTAAAACTTGAAGAGCTGTTTGGCTATTTTTAATCTCTCTCTGCAGTGTGTTCGGAAATTAACTAATTTGTTCTAACATCTCAGGGTTCTTGCTCAGATTCCTGAGTGCTGACAGCATGAGATTGGTGCACATGCTGGATGTAGGGTCAGGCTTCTACTTATAAAACATTAAAAAAATCAAGTAGTTGTTGAGCTGTAGTACCAAATAAGTATCATAAAAATAAGTATCATAACATTTACTATATATATTTTTTTAAATGCTTTCCTAACTTGCAGCTCTTCTTTTCCCTTTATTAGGATGATTACATGGAAGCATTAGCTCGGCTGCATCTTACTGTGACCAGAGCCTATAAAGTGAATCCAGATATCAACTTTGAAATCTTTATCCATAAAGTGGATGGTTTATCTGATGATCACAAGATTGAAACGCAGAGGGATATTCACCAGAGGGCAAATGATGACCTTGCAGATGCTGGACTGGAGAAGATTCACCTCAGGTGAGAAAAGTTGCTGTGCAGAGAATGCTAAGAGGAGAGCAGCTTATTTGACAAGGTACCATTTTCTGTCGTCTTGAAGTAGAAAGCAACATGCTTTAGCTATATGAAAGAAAGGGATAATCAGAGATACTGCATTTGACCTGAGCCAAAGTATCCTATTTCTGATTGCTGTCTTGAAAAGAAAGATGGAGAGCTGCTTAATAATAGATGATAAACATGCCAGAATCCTATCAGTTTTTGCTGCAGTTGCTGTCTTGAAATACGTTGACTTGGACAGTGACAACAACCAGTAGAGTTCCAGGCAGTGGAGTGTATATGCCACTACATCACTTTTGCCTTCTTTGAAAACTCTGCCACACGGTCCCCTCCCAGTGACTCATCTTCCCTGCTGCAGCCTGCTTGCAGCCGCTGGGGAAGACCTGTGCTGTATCTTTGCCTTGTGTCTTCTGGTAAAATGGGTTACTGTTGCAAATAGTGACAAGTAGTGGATTTGGAGACTGGGAACCAGAGGACATCAAGTTGTCAAAGCTTTCTTAGCACTTTAAAGCCAAGTAAAAATATATTAAAAAGAGAGGCCTGCTCCCTGAACATGCCAGCTCTTTAGAGCTCTTAACTACTCAACTGCATCAATACACTGATAAGTGGGTTCACAACTTTCAAAAAGTAGATCACAACAGATATATTCAGTAATACTCCTCTCCTGAAATTCTATAAATATTTTTGTAAGAATAGCAGCATGGGAATTGCATTAAAAAGTTTTACATCAAATTCTAGGTTTCAATGTCTAGGTTGGGGACTTTTTTAGCATAGAGATGAAGTCCTGTGCTTCAATCATATCATGACTTTTGATCACAGGGGCTAATTGCATTAGTGTAGGTACTTACTGTCTGACAATATTTTATCTCACTCATATTGTGAAAGGTACATCATGTTCACAGTATGTGGCTAAAAGGAAAATGTGGTGACGTTTTTTTCCAGCTTTTATCTGACAAGCATATATGATCATTCTATATTTGAAGCATTTAGCAAAGTGGTACAGAAACTGATTCCACAGCTCCCAACACTGGAAAACCTGCTTAACATCTTTATTTCAGTAAGTACTTACTATATCCTTTGTCGTAGATCTGCTGTGTCCAACATGCATGTTCAGATACGCTGTTCACTGCCTTCTTAGAGATCATGAGCAATGTGAACTCTCAGAGAAATTATCAGAACTTAGTTGAAATGCACCTCCATGCAGCTTGGCCTCACCTCCATGTCTATTAAATAGCTTTGATGAGGTGCTGAGCTACATATAGTATTTCCTGAGTCACATAAAGTGGGTTAGCAGCCATCGCTTTTCTGCTTGTAACATCCGTCTGAATGTTGCAAAAGTCTGTGCTGCATGTATTTGTTTAAGTTGCACTTAAAACTTGTATGAATAAATATTTAAAGGAACATAATCTAGTCTGACCTTATATGGGGAGCTGTCTGTAGTGCTTCCCAGAATTAATTTGACTTTGTATCGGAGGCTTACTGAGCTTAAGAAAATCTTATGTAGTGAAATTTTTAGATGTAGAGTCCACCACAGCTTTTACTACTTCTGTAGTTACTCTGAAGGCCAGTTAGGGAGTTTTGTATATCTAGTGGTTTGTTACCACTGTGGAAGAGATTGCTTGCTCCACTCATCCTGTATGTCTGATCCCTTCCATTCCTTCTTACTGGTTCTGGCACTCCCTGTTCCCTTATGGGGTTACTATACCATGCACTTATGCATTGTTTAATTTAGTTAAAAGCAGGTGATGGCGGAATCCTACATGCTCTTGTTCTGACAAAAGGTAAGAAATGGAAACATGGGGCAGTGAGTGAAGGGGAGCATAGTGAGTAGATTGTAAAAAGGGGAAACTCTCTGTTTTAGAGGTCATTAAATCAGGTCATAGTGGCTCCAAAAACTGCACCCTTTCTTACATTATTCTAATTTTGTGCTTGGCATCTGGCACTAATTTCTGAAACTTCAATTTCCAAGCAAGATACTTTGTTGTGTCTTTTTGTGATTTTGACATAAGAAATTATTTCATATCATTCAACAGCCTGTAAGATAAAATTAGACTTCACGGTTTCTCAGTGTGAAAATGGAGAGAGATAAAAGCTGGATGTGAAAGGGAGAACTAGGAATAGAGGAAGTGTGGACACACACATTAGAGAGCTAGGGAATTACAGCTTGGAAATTCTTTTTCAGGCCTGAATTTCTCCTGACTCTCAGGTCCATTCCCAGGCTGATAAGCTGACTATAGCTTCAGTTAGGGAGGAAGTCCCCCAAGGTGATAACATGGTGAAAAACAGAGTGGAATTCATAATAAAGATTAACACCTGGTGTCTTTCCCGTGGGATACATCCTGAGGTACTGTCCCAAGGATGTTTTTCCCAATTCTCCAATGAGCTACTGTCCTGTCCTAGCTCCACATAACATGCTTTAAATACGGGCTGTCCGTACAATAAAGTTGGCCTTTTTTCCCTAAAGGCATCCGTGTGTGTTGCTGTCCTTTCTATCTCTTTTTAGTGCAGTGACCACAAGGAAGGTCATTCCAAAACTTATTCTCTTACTATTAAACAGCATATTTATACAATTTCATAATGAATAGTTTGCTACAAAGATTTCTTTCTTCCAAAACAGCTGAACTGTATACCAGTTAATTTTCATGTAGTTTCAAAACTCCACAACAGAAAGGTAATGAAGAAATGATGACAACAATTCTAGAGCAATTAGATAGTGGTTTTGGCACACAGTCTTACAGAGAAAGCTGGCTGAATAATAGTCTTCCTTGTGCCAGAGTCACTCCAGTCACTCATTGTGAATCAGATCTCTGTATGGAGTCTCCTCACTGTTTGGAGTTGGTGAAGGGTTTGTATGGAATCTCCACATGAACTGAGCACAGGCAGCTTCCTGAATGACTGATGCCAGTTGCTCGTGTGTCTGGAACCCCCAGCTCCGATCATACCTAGAATATCAGGTATAGTTTGTAAGAAAGGACAAGTAGTTCAAATAAATGGGAAGTCCAGAAAAGTGAGGGAGGTGTGCTATTTCCCCTGTTCAGTACAGGAAAGAGTCTCGGACTGTTTCTTTGCTCCAGTTTCTTAGTGACCTAGGACCATGTGTAGCTGCATCACGTCCTCAGCATGCGTGCTGTTTTTACAAGTATCTTCTGTCTGTAGACAGAGAGACTCAGAATGACTGTTGGCAACCACAAGGAAGATTAAACATCATTCTCCCTCATGCAATTAGTTAGGGGATGCCTCTTTACCTTGGCAACTTAGGAACAACAAATTTTGACATGGATTTTGGTCACGCCTTACCTCAGGAAGCCAATGTGTTGGATATCAGGGGGTGGGTGTATTCGTGTTCTACTTTTGATTTTGCAGCAGCATTCATGAGGAAGTGCTTTCATTTATGCCACAGTGACTTCCAACACAAAAAGCTGATGATTACAAAAATAGGTTTGCGATCACTGTTAAGTTCACAGCAGGCTTTTGCCCAAGTTTATAATGCCACAGTGTGTGACCATGTTTGAGGAACCATCAGTGTGATAATATTGCTTCTGCATTTTTTAATGTAACTGCTTGTAAGTCGTTAAATAACTGGCACTCAAAATACATGTTGCTCTTACCTGACTAACACCCTTACCAGCTTCATATAGAAGGATGCCTGTTTCTTAATTACTGTGGCCTTATCAACCAATCAAGTTGTCTGACATGGGAAAATGAATTTTTATTTAAGGGTTGTTTTAAGGGATGTTAAAAAGTATGTATTAAACAATTATTACAAGTAAAATAAAATAATATACAGTTTTGATAATTTAATGATTTATGTTTTGTAATAATTTAAATTCAAATGTAGTGTTTAAGATTAATTCATGGAATTTGCTGTGTGATGTAAGACCTGTTTAAATAATTGTCCAAAATTCATTACTAACTGGATATTACTGGCAATATCCTCTTAAGTTCTTTTGAGAGTCGCTTTCTAGGACCAAATTCTAGCTTACTTTCATACATTAAAGACAGAAAAAGACAGGCCTGCTTACCTATCCTAGGAATTGGAGGAATACTACTACTTTTACTGAAGCCATTCTCTTTAAGGAATAGAAACTGTCTTCTACATCATCACATCCCATGTAGTTAAGAAACATGGTTTGAATTTTAAGTACCTCATGGTTTTACCTATCCAAAATAAAATCTCATATATTCATTGCGTATTTTTCACAATGACTCTCTTGGTTCAGACTAACCATGGAATATTCTTACATTGATTCAGAGTGCTTTTAGCACATGTTGCATGTTCTCTGCAGACTGTAGGGTTGTGTCAGAGAGAACTTGTGCTTATTCAGACCCTGTTCTCATTTAATCAATGACAGCCTTTCATTCATAAGGAACCCACCAGCTCTAATAACAGAAACAGTTGATTTCTTATTGTCATTTTCCCTAAGCATCAATGATGTAATGTCTCTTCGAAGAGTACTTTTTCCTGTTTTTTTATGACTTATTATTGTTTCTACAATTTCTGTTTGGGTTTTTTTGCAGACTAGGGGCAGCAGGTGGGGGGTGGGGTATTGAGTAGCTTCCACACAAAAATTCTGGGAAATCCTTTGATTCTTTGGTTACAGTTGTACAAAAAACCCTGCAAATGAAATATTTGAAGGCATGTGGGTAAATTTAGTGGTTATTACTCCTGGCAGTCCATGCTACAGTTTCACAGAGGTTTCTGTCACCATAAAAAGTTATAAAAAACCAAATTTGTGCAGTTTCTCAGCAGGTCCTACCACAGTGGATCAGTTGCAATTGAAAACAAGCATAATTGAAGTTAAGAGACCAATTTCTGCCCTTAAACAGCAGGTGTAACTGCTGGCATGGCAAATGTCTCAAGACTTTTGTGGCAAACGTTGAGAAAACTTTCTGAACTCTCGCTGCAAGTACGGGCAGGCTGCAGCACCTGGAGCTCTGAGATGAAAGAATCACTTCTCATTGTTAAATGTTACTATATTGTCACTGGCATCTTAATAATTTAAAGTGCATTTTACCTGTACAGCTGAAATTGTTGCAATGTCTCTGTAATACAAAACTTTGTAATTGACTTCTCATGACTGACACTGCAGGGCTCAAGCTTCTTCTGTCTGAAATTACTTGTATTACTTGTATTTTCAAGTACAATTTTGGCAATGAGTTACAGCTATGTACTTACATGATATTTCAAGAGAGTCTTGTAATTAATCTTACTTGACAGCATCTGTTGAACTGTGTGAGGTGCTGTCAGAATTACAATTTAAAAAGTAAAATTACAGAACTCCCATATGTGGCCAGAACAACCAGCATAATTATGCATACATTTTTGTTCTTTGTGCTCAAAGAACACAGACACATAGAACCTTGTAGGCTGAAAGGGCCCTTCAGAGGTCAGGTGCTGCTCAGAGTCAGGCCAGTTACAGCAAGTTGGTTATGACTGGTTTCAGTTCAGCTTTGTGCATTTGGAAGGATAGAAACTCTGCAAACTCTCAGGTCCACATGCTCCCAGTTCTTCACCACTGTTATGTTAATTTTTCTTTTCTTTTATCAAGCTGGATTTCCAGCCTGTGCCTTTTGGATTCTGTCCTTCAACATTGTAGCTCTGAGAAGAGTTTGGCTCTAGCTCTGACTTCTCAGAACCCTTACATTAGGTATTTGTAGATAGCAATGAGTCTTCTTCAGGATGAACAAAGCCATTTCTCTGAGACTCTCCTTGTACATCCTGTGCTTCAGCCCATCTACCTAAGGTATCCACAGTGTATACTTTGTTTTGGATATTTTTTTATTATTGACTTACTGAAATATGCCACTCAGTCTTTTCTACTATAAAATGCAAGAAATTCACTTCTATACTCTGTTATTACTAAGCTCTGTGTGCAGTGATGGAAGAATGAAGAAAATGCCAAAAATAGTGATGGCCATTGTTCAATAGCATATCTAGTGTTGGAAATTTTTCTGCCTATTTCTGGAAATATGATAAGCAGATAGTCACTTTAGTTACTTAACTATATGTTAAATAGTTGACTTAGAAAAGAAGAAAGAAAAAATGGAAAAGTTCTGTAACTGTACAAATGAAGCTAAAACTATTAAAACTTGTTAGGGATTTTCAGTGTGGTTTTTGGTGGTTACAGAACTACAGTCCCAAACCATGTTAAAATGGGAATCCCATATATGGAGACAATTCAGTTGGATGGAGAAAGTTGCTTGTCTTCCCATGTAGGTGGATGCTGATAGATTGAACTTTAGCAATACTGGGAAATTGCCCTTTTTTATGCTGGAACAGCTGTGCAAGTGTAATCCCCTGACATCAGCCAGCAAGGCTACTGTTTTCAGTTGAGCAGTACACTTTTTTTTCCAGGAAGCAGAGGCTTATGGCAGTTTACTTATCTACACAAAGAGTAAGAGCTAGCATTCCTGGCTAGCTTCTCAGAGCTGTGAATACGATCCATCTCCAGTATGGAGAGCGTCTTAATCAGCTTGGCAGGATGACAGGAACATAGCTGTCATCACTTTAGCAAGCCTTAGCATTTTAAATATGGCTTTAACTACCAGTGCTACATGAGACCTGAAGGCACCATCAGAACACTGGTTTTTCTCATGTGATCCTAAACGATGTTCTACAGAACCAGACAGAAAAATCAGACCAGACAGACCAAAATCAGTTCCTGAACAATACTGTCTTCTTTGTCCATCAGCGTTTTCTTTCCTTTGTTTCTATCTTCTCATATGCCCAGCTAGAATAACTTGAGATTACAGCTTTCTTTCATGTCTGTTGCTACAACACCAAAAGCTTGAACTTCTGCTCCACCCTTGCCCTCCCTCATTTTCTACTGAAAAGAAATGTAATCTCTCCAGGTGGAGAAGTTTGGGAGTGTCACTTGGCATTAGGTGTGCTCATAGGCATAAACTGTTGGAGGGTTTGTGAGCAGTATGGTTTGCTACAAATACAACAGTGCTCTATGTACAGTTCTTTCAAAATGAGCTTGATTGCAATTTATATTTTCTGGCCTAGCCCTTTTTGTGTAACAGGCAAGTAAGGGAATAGAAAAGCCTGGGGTTAATTTGAAAACATGGATTCCACTTTATTTTTCTTTTTTTCTTCTCTTGAATAGAATTCTGGGATTGAAAAAGCATTTTTATTTGATGTAGTCAGTAAGATCTATATTGCAACAGACAGCACTCCAGTGGATATGCAAACTTACGAGCTCTGCTGTGATATGATAGATGTTGTGATTGACATTTCTTGTATATATGGGTAAGTAAATTGTGAATGTTTTCCATAAAGCTGTGTACTGAGAATCTGAATAGCCTCAAAATTAGAGTGATGTGGGTATAAACAATAGTGAGAATGGGTAATTTGCTAGGACAGGGGAGGAGGAAACAGCTGGCTTCTCAGGGACTGATCCTTCCCAGCAACAAGCATTGCTCCCTGTTCAGTCTCTTTTGTGAGCATCTTCCTCTTTCTATGCTAATAACTTTATTTGGAGGAAGAAGTGGGAAGAAGCCAACCTAAAATAAAGGGAAACATCATGTCTTTGTTCCCTAGGGATGAAATCAACAGAAGGATGCCTCCTGTTTTAAAAAGAAGTGAGGCCATATTTAGTTTTATTTAATAGCCAGTGGCCTCTAATAGCTTCAGAGAGTTGTTTCACTTCAGTTCTCTGTTTGTCCCCTATTTCCTACATGACCTTTCTTTGGTTTTTTCAGTTTCCTCTTCTTGTACATTAGCAAGTGGAAATCTCCTGGGCTGGCATGTACATATCCTTGCAAGTTATGTGTTCAGTGGCTTGGCCCTTGGCCAAATGTAATGCCAGCCATTCCTGGGGAAGGCAGGGACACATTTAAGAATTAGTGCATGAAGGTGTTTACACTTGGAGGCCAATGCACAGCATGCTTAGAGAGTGGTAGACTGGGGTAGCTTTGCATTTGTACCCACTGACAGACTTCTTGCACTCTTAGAGAAGACGCAAGGGAGAGTCTTGGTACAGATGTGCAGTAAGTACTGGAACAATAAACTGTTGAATACTTAACCTAAAATCTGTGAAGTTTGTATATTCTACTGTGCGTTTCAGATTTTGGAGTCATCACTTCAGTTACTGTGTAAAAGCTTGTTTTACAGAGGTATAAAATAATGGATGCTGATTTTTGTAGAGAAAGATTCTGCTGTGTAGTTCAAAAGAGTGTGCATTTAATAATCATCTGTACAACACCACTTGTGGGGCTCTTTATTTACAAAATATCATTCTGACACTGTGGTTGTGTAGCCATTTAGCATTTATCACCAGAGATCTGCTTGCCATTTTTTAGCTACAGACTGAAGACACAACATTACAATAATTTCTTGTCTTGTGTTCCTGGAGCATTTATGGAACTTGCCACTTTAACATAGTGGAGACTAATTGTTCTGGGAGGTTGGTGATAACTATCCATTTAACAATATCTATGTGTGCATTCAGGAATGAGGATAAAATTACAACGTTACAATGTACAAAAACATTATACAGTGATCATCATCACACAGCATCTGTGAATGAGGAATCTCTTTTCATAATATGTTGCAAAAGCCAACATTGCATGAGGAAAGTCTCATGACATCTTAAACTATCAGTCAGCTGCTCCCGCTCAAGCAAGGTTACTGGGGTTTGGAGTTATAAGTACAGGCCTACTGTTTCACATGTTTATGATAAGTCATAATATAAAGCACTGATTAAAAGAAAAGCAGCCTTGTGGTAAATGCATGGTAACTTACAGAGGAAAAAATAAGGTTCCAGTTCAGGCACTTGGCAATGAAACAATCTGATTTCTAGCCCCAGATCTAAGACTTGTTGTGGGATGGGATAAAAAGTTTAATCACTTTGTCTTCTTAGTTTACATAGTGTGTAGTTTGAAGAAGAGTCTCCCTGAAAGATTAAAATGAAGATTTCATAAAGTTTGAGATTCTTTGGTGAGCTAACAAACACAGCAGTACTTTTGTTAGCTAATCTGGTGTCTTTTCTTGTTCGTTTGTTTGAATATTGCTCTTTAGGCTTAAAGATGATGGCACTGGAACTCCCTATGACAAAGAATCAATGGCAATCATAAAACTGAATAATACAACTGTCCTTTATTTAAAAGAGGTGACAAAATTCCTCGCTCTTGTTTGTTTTGTCAGAGAAGAAAGCTTTGAGAGAAAAGGTATTTTCCCCTTTTCTTAATCTTCCCTTATATTAGTGAGTTAATGATTAACTCAGGTTGTTAGTAGCTGATAACAGTTTCTAACTGTATGATAAATATTGAGGTAAGTACAGCTTGATAAATCTTACATAACATTTTTAAAGGGATGAAAGTACTTGTGCAAACATTAAGATGGGATGAAATCATAATGTATTTGACAACTTTCTGCTATGAAAGCATTTCAAAGTTTACATCCAATGCAGTAAAGCTTCCACCTGCAACTGTAGACTGTGTTAGTTTATCTTGACTAACACTGATTTGTACGTGTTGTCACGTACATACACATCTGGATCAGCTTGCCTGCCAAAACCAAGGGAAAATTTTCGACTGATAGAATGTTCTTGCTTTTCTTATATCTGAAAGGAGCCTTTTGAAAAATTGCATATTTAGGACCTAGTCCTATTTAGGAGTGCTTTAATATTTTGCAGTTAAAGTGCATAAAATTTCTTTGTTATCTTTCCTGGTCCAAGTCAATACTGAACCCTTAGTTCATGACCTCTCTGCTCAACGGCACGATGTTCACTGAGTTGTTGGTCTTTGTGACATGCTCCGAGACCAAAACTCAGCAGCAGAAGAGCAAGCTGTCATCTAGGCTTGTGTGCCCCATCTTGTGATAGTAATTTCACCAGTCAGTGTTGGTGTGTTTGTGAATGCAGCACTTGTACCATGCCTACTGGGCTTTTTGACAGCCTGTTGAGCCTTTGATAGAACTTAAACTGGTCAAGTGTCTCTTCCATACCCCTACCACATTTATTGTATATGAATGTTGAATGCAGTCACTTTCTGTTGAAAGAATAAGAAGTATTACTTCTGCATATTTACTAACAGCACTGTTTCAGAAGGACACCATGTTAAATAAACATCCATTAAGGTTTGTCCATAACTGTGTGAGGTTGTTGTGTCTGCATAGTTGGGACACTTGGTACCCTGCACTCTTCTGCAATACAATTCTGGTATTATAATGGAGATGAGCTTTTTGTGCCTTATGAATTCCAAGTAATATTTTGTCTGAACTGTAGGGAGATGGAAAAAGTTCCTGGGAAAAAAAAACCAAAGTGTAACATGGTGGATATAAACCACTTAGAAATATGTATCTCCTGTTAGGAAAATTTAAGTGGAAAATGCTGCAGTATTTGAGTTAAGAAAGCTTATGGCATTAACATTGAAAGAGGTCATGAGCTCAGTACCAAAATTATAAAATTGTATTGTGGTATTACAGAATTGTAGCACTCAGTAAGTCTTCCAATTGACTACCAATATGGCTTTACAGCTTTTCTGTGGGATCACATTCAGCCCACTGACATGGTAATGTTATCTGCCTATTATGTAAGTATCTCATCTAATAGCATGTCTATTGTGTTACTTTTTAATTACAGTGTAAGATGAAATATAGCTGGCTGAGATTTGCTAATAGTGCTATCAAGTATCCATTTCAAAGTTTATGTATTGTCAGAAAATGAACATTTTTTATGCTACTTATTTTTATCGTTATTCTGTAAAGCAGATTTCCAAAATTACACCATATTTTATGAAAGATTTAGTATTTCTTCTAGTATACTTAGCATTTCTTCAAAGCACTTTATTAAATTAAGGATCTGTTATCTGCCAATAACTTCTACTTGTTTTCTCTTAAAACTTAAAAGTATATTTAATAGCAGACACAGTATCAAGTTGTAATGCTTGCTGAATTATTTGTATTTATCAAATACGCTTTTGCTTAGCACAGAAAAAATTCCTGGACAGTTCATTGAATATGATCTCCAGACAGACAGTGTGGTATTTCACTAAACACAGAATATAAGCAATGGTTTCATTACCTTATTTATGTGAATGTCTTTATTAATATGTAAAACACTTCTGTCTCTGTAGGATTAATAGACTACAATTTCCATTGTTTTCGAAAAGCCATACAAGAAGTATTTGAAGTAAGAATGAAAGTAGTAAGATCTCGAAAACATCAAAGCCACCTGCAAAAAAATAAAAGACCCACTCCCAATGGGACACCAAGAATGCCATTGTAACTGAGGTTTTCTGGCAATGTGGCAAGCAAAGTTTTCATGAAGTTGACGTGACTTCTGCATCTCATTGCACTGAGTGAAGAGGAAAACAAATGGGACTGATGTATTATATGAATTTTCCCTGAACGTTCAGAAAGCACTGTTTAAATATTTTTATCCAATCAGTTTTTTTCATATAGTGAGCACTTTGAGCAAAATGTTGTATATATAAACATTGAGGTGAGCACTTGTAAGAATTTTCTTAATATATGCTGTAAACCTTTTTCATGCCATATTAAGAAAAAACAGCTGTGACAGAAATACTGGGTACATAATTTGCACTTTTTCATGTTTTTCTTGTGGACTTGGACTTTGATAAACTTAGTTTTTATGGTGATTTTGATGCATGGTGTCAGGTAAAATGTATGCTGTAGTTTATTTACCTGCTACAATCAAATTGGTTAGTAAACAATTAAGAAAACTTGGTACAATGCCTTTTTAAATTTGTGACAGCTAATACCTAACATTCATACAAATCTAATTTCATATATTTTTCAATTTGTAAACTGAAAAATAATATTGAAGTATTACAGCAATAAGCACCTTACCAGGGATCATAACTGGTAAGTAAATATTAGCTTTTATAAAACAGGCTTTTGGCCAAATTTCATCCGGAGTTCTCCTTAACACTGGTCATGCCCTCTCTTGGGTCTGGTTTTATTATTTACCTCAGCATATACCACTAAAATACCTTTCTATAAAGATGATTGTTTTGTAAAATGGCTCTATGTTGCACTGGTATTTTTATAAGGCTTCAGAGGAGTATGTTGTATCTGTATGGCTGGATTTACATTGCTAAGTTTGTGTTGAGAGCCTGTACATGTACAGTTGGTGCAATGAAGAATCTGTTTGTATTTCCACCCTGGCATTCTGATGTACTGATAAGTCATAAAGGTGTGAGCACTGGGTTCTGATTCCCTCTAACAGGGGTACATCTGTGATTGAAATCAAGACGAGACCATTAAAATGAGGACTGGACAATATACCTGCTGTAATAATCAGCGTACATCACTACTTTTTATTTTAATACTGAACATGGGCAGATTTACCACAAGATCAGCCAGGACAGCAGAGCACTCTCAAACCTAAAAAGAAGTATCACTTACTTTCCATGTTCTGTATCCAGTGTTTTTGTTTAATTAGTGATACAGAATTATAATTTTTAGATGGAAGGGAAACTCTTAATTTTTACCGATTGCATGCACAGTCCAATGGTTTTGTTGGCAGCTTTTGGGAGTGAGAAGAACTTGATCAGAATGGGAGGCAGCTTGCTGTACACCAGAAACAGGTAAGGGGAAATGTACCTTATTCACAGCCAATCTGCCCCTAGACAAAATAGCTCTGGAGGCGAGCAGGAAGATAGAACCAATAGCTCTGTCAAGAGTTGTGTGATATTAATGCAGTTCTAGGGGCTCAGGAAGGTAAGAAATAATAGTGAAAACCACTGATCCTGGTGCTGATGTGAAGAACAGTGACAGTAGCTGTAGTCAAATCAGAGTGTTTAAAAGCCACAGAGTTCAGATGCTTTTTGGTAGTGCCACCATCCATCATCTTAGTTGAGGACGATTCTTCTGACTAGCCCCTCAGTTAAAGTAATGCTAAGCTGTTTTCAGAGTTCACCAAAACAGTGATAGGTAAGAAACATCTTTTGGCAGCGTTCCAGTCCACAGGACTTTCATTGAAGGACTGCTGTAATTTCTGGCCATATGTTTGTCTTTCATTTTGTTGAGATTCCCCATTGGGTCACAATCTCTGTTCTCCCTTCAGCCCACCAGGTGTAGGTGGCTATGTGGGACTAAGAACCCTTACCAGGCTGGGCCAGATATTTTTTTGTGTAAATTATCTCATCATAGTGGCTATGGTATGAGTCATAACTAAATGTAGCTTCCATATATTTGGCCTGAGTTCTATGTAGCCATGCATGTCCTTCTATTAGACACCATCAACTTGTTTAAGATAGTGAAGTTACCTCTTGTAGTCCCCTCTAGAATTTAGAACAGACTAGCTGTCATAATTTAGTGAAGGTGACTTTAGCCAACATAAAACTTCCAATTGGGTATTATCAGAGTAAGTATAATTTTCATCAGATTACTTAAGTTTCAAATATAAAATTGAAAGAACGTTAAAAATTAATTAGTTTTAGTGTTTAACTTTGGTATTTTCAGGTTACGTGATGACTCATTTCACTTTTGAGTAATTATTTTCTAATGTTCTAGCTGAAGTGATTGAGCACTGAGTGAGACGTGCAAGGTTCTTTTTAAGAACATATTTTAAAACTTGCTTTTACTTTAAAAAAATTCTTCTAAATTTTAATGAGATTCTAGTTTTATTTCAAAGAAATTAAATACCCTATGTGCTACAAGAGTCACTTAAGGCAGTGTTGATACACCTTTTCTAAAATCAGAAATTGTGGAAGAAGTAATTACTTTCCAAATAGTCTAGTATTTCTAAAGTACCCGATCCACGAGTCTCCATGTCTTATTTATCATTGAAGTTGACTAAAAATGGTAGGGACCATTAATGAACAAGCCATGTATTTTTAACACACTGGTTTACAATAAACCCAAACCAATTCGGTATCCTGTAGACATTTTAAAGTCAGGAGATAGATAACTATAAAATACTGGTTCCAAGAACTTACTATAGTTGAGGAAATCCCTGTAAGTAAAGGCAGCAGCTCAGAGTGTGTGAAGGGTTCTCTGAAGAGTTCAAATGCACCTTTGAGCAGGCACTGGAATGGCTGTTTAAAATGTTACAGTGCTGGAATATATTTCTAAATCTGGTGATTACCAATATGCTGCACATTAGCATGGAAGTGTAATTGACGGAGCAAACTACCCTCATAAAGCATAATTCAAGTGGATCATTTGAGATCGCATGTTTTATGATAGAACAAGTGGGGTTTTTTTTAAAAAAGATTTTTTTGCAAAAATTCTGTGGTTTTCTTGCATGTGAAATTGCACTCCTGATGGCTTGATACTACAGGAATTCATTCTGTGAAAGTATTGCAGCAATTTTTAAAAGAGATGTTAACCTATGAATTCCCTCCATTTTTATACGCATCATCAGATCAAGTGGAGGAATTTAAGAAAATAACCCCTGTCATTGTACACAGTAGCAACAGTTTTCTTTAAAGACATATTTACCGTGCTGTCATTTGCAGTAGTCATTGTAGAATATTTTTCTCTTAAATTGAACACTGAGGTTTTCCTGTTTTTGTACTGAATGATATAAAGGACATCATGTCATGATTTTTGTGCTGCAGCTTTGTCCTGTTCGATGGACAGATACATTAACACCAAAATTCCTTACTCAGATTCTAAATGTTTATCAATAGCTGCATGTGAATTTACTCAATTACAGATAAACACATCAAATTCTCCCATTTCAGCTGTGAGGAAAATGAGAAATAAGCTTGGTTGGCAAGTTCTTTTGGGCTCCTCTTATATGGTGGCATATGGTTGACATCCCACTTGATTTCTCACTGCATTAATATTTGCATATTAGCTCATTCACATATCTTCAAATAGCTACATTTTAAAATGACACTACCAGATTGCTGCTTTTAATTTGTTTTCTCCCTGGTATCTTCTGTGTTACCTTTCCCAGTTTGCTATCTGAATTTCACATTTCACTGTACCCAGGTCTGATACCCAGTCTCCTTGGTACTTGCCAGCCTATTCCCTTTGGCATGTAGGCATTGAGCCACAGGCTAGGTCTTGAGCTAAAACCTACTGAAAGAAGTACAAAAACATTAAAATTGTAAAAATCCATTACATGCTATTAACATCCCTAAAAAGACTCAACATATTTATGTAATCCTGGTTTGTATGCATGCCATAAAATATGTATTCATATTGAAGTTACAGTTTATGTTCACAGATTTTAAACATGTCTTAATCATGTCCTGAATGTAGTTTAAAATTTTAAAAAATATATAAATATGTCCAGGACAAATACTCCTAGTGCAGCAGCCTATCACAATGTCTCTTGGACTAAACTAACACATTTTTGTAAGGTAAAAGATTTTCATGAGAAGATACTCTACTGAGTATTTCCCAGAATACCTGGAGCTGCTACAAGTGAGAGGAATTATTTATTTCCGAATTGCTAAATAGCAGAAGAAAAAGAGAAAAAAACCCCATTGATGTCCTTTCTTTAAAAAAAAACAAACCAAAAATAAAACCAAGAAAAAACTAATATACACTAGCCTAAATTGGGAAGTGTTGGGATTAGACATATGGATGAGTGCAAACATGAGAGGCAATAAAAAAAAGTACAGAGTGGCCAAAGGTACAGCGTGTATGCCAGAACATTTCAGTGTATTCAAGCTGCCTTACACAAAATGTTCAGGTTGGATATTTGGAGGAATTTCTTCACAGATAGAGTGATTAAACACTGGAATGGGCTGCCCAGGGAGGTAATGGAGTCATCATCCCTGGAGGTATTTAAGGAATAGCTCTTAATGACCTGGTGGTGTTTAGTCAAAGGACTTGATGATTGCAGAGGTCTTTTCCAACTGAATTGATTCTGTGGTTCCATGAAAATGTAGACCAAGGAAAGATAATGGGCTTATCACAACAGGGTCAGCCACAGGGAGGTAGTGTGGGTGAGGTCTTTTTAACCACATGGTCCTCAAAAGTCCAAGTAGTTGACAGGGAGCAACAGGACAGTATCAAAGCTACCTTTCCTATTATAGCATGATTTACCCTTTGTGTGTTTATCTCCATTCAGTGCAAACTAAAAGCTATTCTGAACTGTGCTGAACTGAAGCTTAGTGTCAGTACAAGTATAAACCATATCAACACATTCACACTGGAAATCAAAAAGAATTCTACAGCAGGAGAGCAGCATAGGGAGAGCAAACAGCTTGACTACATCCAAGAGGAACCTCAGCTTGTCAGTGAAAATGGGTGTAAGCTGTGGTGTGTCAATTCCTTGAATGTGCTAGCATCAGGGAATGCTATAGTCTTAACTCATCAGTACTGCAAGTTTCTGAGCCAGATGAACTCGTGTTTGCATTTAGGTGTTTATGTGTCAGGTAGGTGCCCACTCAGCCAGTTCAATCCATGCATCACTGCAAATTCTTGGTCCTCAAAAGTGTGCTACCTCCTTACTCCTTCCCACACAAACTCCAAGTCTCATACCTAGTGCATTCTTTCTTGATAAATACTGCCCTAGTCCTTCCTCAGCTTTTAGTTATCCAGATAAAACAATCATCCAACAGTTTGGGAGCCAGGAGGGCTTTCAGACTCCTTCAAAACTAGTGCTGCAAGCTCTCTTCTGCAGCTGGAGCTCCTCTTAATGCTGCTGATAAAACTGCCTAACTGGATGGAGTAATAAATGCCCCAGCAATAAACTGAAAACCTTTCAGCAGCAGTTCCGTTATTTCTAGAAGCCCCACCATCCAGTGCAGTGGTATCATTCAACTCCAACTTGTTCTGAGGTTAAGCCAGCTGTGGATTGAATTCTCCTTTTGCACATCTACATCTGGATTTGAGGCTACTTTGATAATGAGAGCTATCTGAGATGTGGGAAATGTTTCAACTCCTTTTGCAAAGCAGTATACAGAGAGAACAGGTGTGCCTTCTGGGAAATCCAGTAGTGCCAGATCATAAGGTCCTGGGACCATCTTTGTCTCCAAACCCTGTACTGAGAAATGGAACCATACTCTGTTTCTCTGCAATGCCCTTTTCCATGACTGAATTGTCCTCTGGTGAACCAAATGGTCTGATCCACAAATTGCTTCTCTTTCAATACTCCTTTTGCAGCTGCTTCAGCTTCTTTGGACTGTCAGTATGCCATTCATCATGCTGTCTTGGTCTCATATCCTAAGTGCTGAATGCAAGTTTTGCAGCAGAGGCACACAAATTAACCCACCAGTCCTGTTCCTCTTACTCAGCAGTTTCCAGCTCTGTTCCTTCAGTAATTTCATTTTGTATTTCAATTCCACATTTTCTGTCTATAAAGCAGCAGTTGTCATTCAAATTTTCCATTC